ATATCGTACTACGATACCAAGAAACAAGGGTTTGGGGGAGAGCACCGGTGGCACCTGATGCAGGATTGGTACTTCATATCTACTAAAACAACACACGATATCCGAATCGTAGCCSATTTCTCGATCGTGCGTCAATATGAACGTGCGTCAATGCTCCCAACCCATTAGAGTAAAAACAATTTATAACAACAAAATAGTTTGTGGGGTAATGGGGTATGGGATTCAAGTGGCCAATCGCAATCACAGCAATTAGCATAATGGTAATGCATGGCAAAGAAATAATCCTCTCTCAATCTAGGGGTAAATCAATGAACGTGTGTCGTTCAGGAAAGAGCCTTGCCCGGGGGTTGGGGAGGGGGGTACTCCCATATATGAACTATACGGGGATGATCCGCTGAACAGGGTATGGTTTTTCGAGTTTCTTGTCATAAACAGGATATGCAATTTCACTCGAGTTCCAAGTTCTTCCTGAGTTTCCTGTCATATTCAGGATTTCTACTTTCGTATTGGCCGAAACTGGTTACCATGGTCGTAAAAAAACGATACGCGAGATGACATGATAATTGGAACAAGAACTCAGTGCAATTAATTATATCTTTTGTCATAAACAGGGTCTACAAATTTGATTTTTTTGTCATAAACAGGGTACCCCTTTCAGAATCCCAGCGGAACACCCCTACCCAAATTCTGGGAGTACCGGCTAGTTTGCAAGACAGGAGACTGGTTTTGGACTAATCTTGGAGACGCTAGTAGGAWTAAAACAATGTTGAAACTACTTGAGACTTGTTTTAGCCGTGCGTGTCGTGTGAACAACCACATTCCTTTATTTTGCACTGCGCATTTTTCTGCGCATAAGAGTCAAATCATGAAKTTTAGCATTTTAACCATCAAAAGGCAAAAACTCGTCGAATTGGCTCCAAAATCGCGTACAGAGACAAAGAAMAGCAGCAAAAACACACGCAAAAATTGGTAAGCTAACTACAAATACTACTATACATTACTACATTCCTTTGAATAAGGCACAAGTACATTGCTTGGGCTTCCTGTGCCATTTTGCGATGTTTTTTCAAAAGAAATTTTTAAAAAATGGTGGTGACCCCCATATTTTATTTCACATATCAAATTACAAGACCGTAGAGCATCCACCTACGAAATATGAATAAAACGACATTTCCCGAAAGTACATATTTATTGGTGAAAATAGCTGGGGGGTTCGATCTCAGGACGACTCTCTAGAGCACACGTGGTTCCATATTTCAATAGTAAGGCTACAAAGATACTTACAGTATTACTTAAACACGATTTAATGCTTAGCTTAAATAGTGTATTTAACATTACCTTTTTTAGATTGCTTAAAACATGTAATTCTGCGAGGAATATGGTGTGATTTTTATTCGACTTCTGGTTACAGCCATAYCTCTCATCGAGGCCGTACGTATTTTGTCATATTTTGAGGTCATGTAGCACAAAAACGAGAATTGTGACCCCAATCTTTTATTGCATATTTGAAACTACCATGGTGCAATAAACGACTATACAAAGTTTGGGGCGGAAACGACAGAATACSCCTCGGTCATAGCTTTGATGGTTAAATGTCATTCCCCGAGAATAAAATTATTGTTTTGAGTTGTATCCATATTCGTGCGTCTTCATGCGCAAAACATTACGCCCAAGCGAAACAAAGAAATGATACTCTAGGGAATG